TATAAAATCAGAATTTTGATGTTTGTTGAAGGTAAACTAAATTCACGAACAAATACTTACAATGTCGGGATAGCATTATGAGGTTTTTTTCCTGGTTTTTCCCTCATAATTTACTATGGAATCAATAACAGGAGAATTTTTACTGTCATCATGTCATGTGTTTGTCTTTTTAAAGACGAATTACATGCTATGATTTTTTTCTGACGGATATTCTCAAGTTAAAGTTGATTTCATGTAATCGAATGAACTATCTTATAAGTAAAGTCGTCCCAGGAGCGCAACTCAACAATATTGGCAATATCATTTTAAAGTCGTCTACTTTAAAATGCATAATGTATGTCTGAATTGTCAATATAAATGAGTCAGATAAAATTAAATTATTAGAAGAATTTTTTCACTATGTAACAAAAAACAAAATTTGTTTAATTTACTGTTTGTATTTTGAGAACGATTTCCGAATTGGAAATTGAAACGTCAATAAACGTATTTTTAATTTTAATTGTGGCTTATTCCCAGTTATAAATAGTAAAAAGCTTCTTCCTGTTCGAAAACCGGATTGTTCTTCTTTCTCGTGGTCTTTGTATTCCTTCTCAATGCGGTCTCTAATTATTCATCCATACAAACGGCTGAATGTACTAGTAACTGATATGCATCTATAGTTTTCACATTTAAGCTTATCTCCTTTCTTATGGATCGACGAAATATAAGCAATTTTCCACTCGTCGGGTCATCATCATCACACAGCCAAATTTGTTAACTGTCGAACATAGGCCTCCTCAAGATGTCTTCACTCTTCTCTGTCCTGTGCAGCTGCGATCCAGTTTGTCACTATTCTTTTAATGTCGTCCGTCCATCTGGTAGGTGGTCGTCCACGATTTCGCTTGTCTGCCCTTGGCCGCCATTCTAAAATTTTCTTTGTCCATCTGTTGTCTCTCTGTCTTGCGACGTGTCCTGACCATTTCCACTTCAACTACGTAATCCGTTTTATGACGTCTTCCACTCCAGTTCTTCGCCGTATCTCATCATTTCGTATTCGGTCTCTCAAAGTTACGCCAAGCATAGATCTTTCCATTTTTCGTTGTGCTACTTGTAACTTTTTTATTGATGCTTTAGTCAATGTCAGTGTTTCAGCTCCATAAGTGAGCACCGGAAGTACGCACTGGTTAAATGCTTTTCTCTTTAACTTTATTGGGATGTTTTCCTTAAAGACGACTTTTAGCTTGCCATAGGCTGCCCATCCTAAAGCTATTCTTCTAGATAATTCGCATGTTTGGTTGTCTCTACTTATTTGTATTTCGTGGCCCAGATATATGTATTTGTCAACCGTTTCAATATGCCCGTTTTCTAGTTTCAATGGTCCACTAGGTACTAAGTTGGTCATCATTTTAGTTTTCGCAAAGTTTATTTCCAGCCCTACTTTTTGGGAGACTCGTTGTAAATCTTGTAGCATTTCGTTGGCCTCCTTTAAGTCGTCGGTTATTAGAACTGTCATCTGCAAATCGTAGGTGGTTCAGCCTTTCGCCATCGACACTCAAACCTCTGTTTTCCCATTCTAACATCTGGAATGCATGCTGCATTACGGCATTGAATAGTTTTGGTGACATGTTGTCTCCTTGTCTAACTCCCCTTTTTAGTTTTATTTTTTGAGTAGGGGTGTGGAGGTTTATTGCTGTTGTGGCATTTGCATATATATGTTGAATAATGCTAGTATATCGGTAGTCGATTCTACAATCTCTCAAAGCTCTTAAGATAGCTACCATCTCGATAGTCTCGTCTCGAAACTCGTCGGGTACAGGAGAACCATTTATAAATTGATTTAAGCACAAAGTGACGGTTTTAAACAATTTTTGTGATCCATATTTTATTAGTTCGACTTGGATATCCCCTGGTTCTGTAGACCTACCGTTTTTTAGTTCTTTTACAGCTTTTCTAATTTCTGTTACTTGTATTGTTATATCTTCCCCTTCAATATTAACCACTGTTGGTGATTGAGTTATTCGTCCCTATTTTCTGTCAGTACTTTTTCCGTAGTATTTTTGTTACAAATGTTAATTGCATTCAGTGCTCTTTATTTCGTTAGTTCTTATTTTACTGAGAAAGTTCCATGTTTTTTATATATTTTCTGCCTCCCAGGTAGGTATTAATTTCCTAGCACTTCTTATCTCACATTTCTTTTTTTGATTTACTGTTATTCTTGTACGAATATGGGCATATCACTAATGGACTTAACTCTGTATACTCTGCTTTGCGGATGACCAGGTCATCATCTCTCAAGACTCTGAAGACCTTAGTTACATGATGCGAAAACTATTAGAAGAGTTTACAGAGTGGAGTTTGGAAGTGAGTAAGGAAAAAACTAAGTATATGTGTATCGGCGGAGATCAACATAACCTTCTCATCAAGAAAAATCAAGATCAAACTATGTGATGACTTCAAATACCTAGGAGTACAGATCACTCAGGACGGAAAATTAGATGCCACCTTTAAGGAGCGAAATACACAGGTAAGAAAGGCTATAGTCTCACTGAACAGCGTACTGTGGGATAAAAACATGCAGAAGTGTGGCCCCTAAAAGACAGAAGAGAAAAAATGCTTAGAGCAACAGAAATTGACTTCTGGCGCCGCTCGCCTCGGTGGGAATCTCTAGACGTGACAGAATAACAAATTACCCATAATATTGTTGATGACATCAAAACGACACAACTTAGATTGTATGGACACGTAAGGAGAATGTTGAAGAATAGAATACCAAGACAAATTCTTGAATGACAACCAAGAGGTAGGCGGAGACCAGGAAGGCCTAAAAGAAGTTGGAGAGAAGGAGTTGATAAAGAAGTCATGAAAAGAGAACTGGAGGACGATCTGTGGAACGACAGAATGAGATGGAGATTTTAAATCGGAAGATGTCAAAAAACGTTGTAAACCGACATTATATAGTTTTTTGTTTCTTAGCTTCTTAATATTATAAATAAGATAATTCCGTAAATAAATCAGTATATACGATTAAAACAATAATTCCAAATTGAACCCTCCTGGACGAGTTACCATTGCATGAACACACTTTAAATAAAGTCTGACTTTAACGAGAGATCGTCAGATCTATATACTTTTGTAAATCACCATCAACGTGTACATATTTCACGAGAAACACATGTGAAGGCTTTTGACTTTAATTTTGCGACGAGTTTTCGGCTTATTATTGCTGTCAAAACGTCGTGAAATGTGGATGCTTCCATATTATATTATTCGCTCTTTCTCTCATTAACAATTGAATAAAACTTAAGCACGATAATGAATTGTTTGAAAAACATTTGTTCAGAGTCAGTATTATGTGAAATTTTTATCATGAAACGTTATAAACGTCACATCTCTATTAATTTATATTTAAATAATTAGTTCATTTTAATTTCTTTATTAATTTATTAATTCCTTTACCTTTAGTTTTATATTTACTATTTTTTATTTAAAAAGTAGTTGGTGCCCTCTATTTTTTTTCTTCCTCTGTCTATCTTTTCTCTCTCTTTTTGTCTTGTAGAATAAATATTCACCCTCTCTCTTTCTATCCGGCAGACTAAATATTCTGTTCTGTATTGACAGACAAGCAACATCCTATGATATCTGTGCTAATTTCAAGCAGTGCCACTACTTTCTGACAGTTGACTTTTCTAATCTAATGGGAATATAACTTTTTGCTTGTTTTTGAAATTTATAAAAGAAGGCAAAAATTATTATAAGACTCATTTTATGGTCTCAAATATTCTCTTGGCTTTATTGGGTTTGTTGACCACATCAAATTTATCGACTACATTTAAAATAATGAGGACCATTCGAGGACTTACCAACTTAGTCAGGACCTACATACACATGTTATTGCAGCTCTCCAGAAGACAAAACATTTAATTGGAGGACCTAACATCTACAACACACAAGCAGTCCATCGAAGCAATAAGTATCACGAATTAATTGTTAAGCTTTGGCAGGGTTGATTGTTTTTATTGTTTTTAGAAAATATGATTGGTTAAGATTTGTTTTATTTGCTATCAGCTAAGAATTCAGATTCAATCCCTAGTTTAAGACAATACGAACTAACACTTGAGATACAGAGCTAGGCAGAGCATAGGCAATAAGCTCCCATGGTTGAATAAGGTATTATTTTTATAATAGTACTTTAATTCTCTGTGGTACAATCATTTTGACAAATATATTACAGTTTTTCTATTTTTGATCATAAAATATAAAATGATTTATTTAAAAGTATAAATCGCTTATCGAATGCAGAACTATCCCAAGTCACAAAATGAAGACCCTTAAGCTAGCAAGGACAAATATGCGGAATCAGATTTAACCTACGTAATATTTTTTACTAATTTATTACCACATTAATAATTTTTCACAACCAAACCACCCTTTTTGGGAGCGATTCTGCTAGTTTAAGGTCTGAAGGACATAATTAGGTCACCTCGAAGACATCGCTTGTATAAGTCGCAAAAGAGTTTAGATTCATATACGTAAGAAGCCAATCCGTAAATGTTAGTGCAGAAGAATTATGAACAAAATTTTATTATCTTTGGATTGCCACTCACATATTTAATCGTAAGGTCATTTTCTCCATTATTTTTAAGAGTTTCAAGCTCAGTATGAAGTTCCTTTAAACAAAGTTGCTGCATAGGTGTCTTGTCATCAATAACAGAATAAGTTCCAGTAGATTTGTTTTCCAAAAGTTTATTTTTGTTACGAAGAATTTTTCGAGGGTGGTGTTCAGAACTCATTATCACTTTTAACTCTTTTAAAAACCTGTCAACATAATGTAGCAGATGTTTTAGATTAATAAAATAAAATTTTAATTTCGTAGCTGTGTTTGCATTAAACAATCTCAAAAACCTATCAATTGAAAAAATTATCATATAAATATTTATTATCACTTTGGAGGTACTTACTAATTTTCTGATTATCTTCAATTTAGCAATATATAAAAATTCCACTATAAATTATATAATTCATTGTGTCATAGATAAATGTAATATAGATTCGACCAAACGAATAGTTGATAATAAAATGTTAAGACTACTGTTTTTTCTATTAGTGCAGTTTATATTCAAAGTAAGGAAAACATATTTATTTCTAATACAATCCATATATTTATAATTTTTTTTGATTGCACAGGTGTATTGCGATGACGACCTAATAGTTACTCTACCAAATGGACAGATTCGTGGGATCACTGTAACGCCACCTGTTACTATAGACCTTACGTATTATGCATTTTTGGGGATACCGTTTGCAGCACCACCAGTTGGAGAATTGAGATTTAAGGTTTGTTTTGATATATTTAACAATAGGATTGTAGATAATAAAAGGCTTTATTAATTTTTATATTATTCATAAAAAACTTAATTATTTTACTTTTAATTTTATAACTATTCAATAAATATTCACTGCAAGAAAAAAACCTTCATTACAATTTCACCTAAAATTTTTAATACCAGTTTATATAATCTAACCAATACAAGTAGATGTTTTTATCCCCCGTTTTTATCGTTACCCCTGATAAATAGGGCAAGAACGCTTTGCCTATACATTCTGTTTCTTCGTCCTTTCTTCTAGAGACCTTCTAGAAACAATATCAAAGCTATCACTAATGTCAGGTTCCTGTTAAGTTATTCCTTTGATCTTCTCGATGAAATGGGCGGAGTCTTTTACAAAATTATCGTTTTTTCCTATAGGTGATTGTAAAATATCGGCTAGATGTTTAGCAAGGCTGTAAGACGGAGCTCCTATGGAGCTCAGAATATGTATGTAGATGTACCTTTACGCCCAACCAAAATATTTGTATATTATTATAACAATATTTACTATTTTTAGCCTCCTCAACCTGTTAATAACTGGGATGGCATTTTAGAGGCAAATAATAGCAAAGTCTCGTGTTACCAAACAGACAAACCTGACGATTACCAATCCGAAGATTGTCTGCATTTGAATGTTTATACCCCTAATGTAAGTATAAAAATTACATTTAAGCTGTATTTATTTAATCTTAACAGTGTCTTAATGTAAATTCACCTAAACAATCTTAACTATATTGATTTATTTTACACATTTCTTTGGTTATGTTTCGTTTTTCTTGTGGGACTTATTCCTAGGTTGTAACGGGTAGCTCTTTCAGGACGACAGACTCAGTAAAACACAGGTTAAAATAAAAATATGTCTATTGATCTAATATATGTACAATATACATGAAAATAAAATAAATCCTGTGCCGTAGAAATTAACTCTGCGCTCCGTCTGGATCCCGCGATGAATGAATCCCCGGCGGACGCCTATAAAAGAAAGAAAGAAAGTAATTATTAATAACAAATAAAATAGGTGTAGTCAATCGCACTCAGACGTGTATTCGCTTCCGCTTCAAACCAGCGGGAGCTGCGAACACACTCGTCAACTACAAAATCGCTTATGCAGGTCCGCGATAAAGTTCAAGACACGATATCGGTAGACTTTGCTTAATTATGGACGGAGCATGAACTTCAAAGCAGAACTACCTCCGTCCGGGTGGGCTCGCCAGTTCAGGACACTGGCGAAGAGAGGAGCCTAAGGCGCTAAGCTAAAGACTGACCAAATGCCGCTATTCATATGCCTTAAATAGTTGCTCTGAACCCCACTCACATCGTGCTAAGGAGGTGGAAGCGCCAACGCTGACACTCCTACGGTTCAAGCTGTTGAACGGTGATGACATCGTTACACCCCCTTCTCTTTGGAAAAAAAAAAGTAGCATACCTTTTTTTTGTATATGGCGTCTACAGCCTTGTAATGCCATTTATCCCTCTTGGAATCTTTATTACGATCTTCTTCCTGTTGTTGCAGTACAATCTGTATCTTTTGGTCCCCCTCTCTATTAGGTGTTGTGGGACGATCTCTACAAGATCGGCGTGTCTCCCGGGTTCTGGTTCGCCTGGAGTGGATGCCGACTGTGCTTCAGGTCCGGTTATCGTATCGGGTACGCTTTTCTTCTTCGGTGGTGTTGGTGGTGTCCCAAACAGTTCGTGGAATCTTTTCAACATTCTCTCTGCGTCTTTTCCTGGTGTCACGGGCAGTTCGGATTTCTCTGGCGTTCCCAGAGGGGTCATCTGTTCTGGTATCTCTAGTATGTCTTCCATGTTAGATGTGGATGAACTGAATTTTGCTTGCTAGCACCGCTCTTTAAATACCGTTTGGTTGTGGTGGGGATTCGATTTGTGTAATGACATTTTCCCCCACCCAAGGTTTTAAATCTTTTACGTGTGCCGTTATCTGCTTGCGGGTATTTCTATCGGCCAATTTCAGTTTTACTATTACCGGTGATATTACTGACGTTACTACGTATGGCCCTGAGTACTTCGGCGCTAGTTTGCTGGTGAAACCTGCACTCGCCGACGATAGATGGTGTTCCTTTTTCATGACTCGATCTCCTGGATGTGGTCGCCAGTCTCTTCGTCTTAGATCGTAATGTTTCTTTTGGTCCTCGAAAGCGTGTTCCATGTGCACTTTCGCCAGTTCTCTTAACGCTTCTAACTTGTTCAAGTTTTCTGCATACCCCTGTATATCTTGTCCACTTGTCGCCTCTGTTGTGTCTAATTCTCTTCCGAAATTAAGCAGCGCTGGTGAAAACCCTGTTGAATCGTGTCTTGACGAATTTACGGCGTAGCAGAATTCTGGTATGAATTTGTCCCAGTCTTTATGGTTATCTTCTACGTATGTGGCTATCATCGTTTTCAGTACTTTGTTCATTCGTTCCACTGGATTGCCTTGAGGTGAGTACGGCGGTGTTAGAATGTGATTTATGTTATAGGACTTTAGGAACGCCTTAAAATTGCTGCTTGTGAACTGCGCGCCGTTGTCCGAAATGATTTTCGTCGGGATGCCGAACTGCATAATTACCTTCGATCGTAAAGTGTCGATGATGGAGTTCGTAGATGCTGCTCTTATTGGCTGGGCAACGACCCATTTGGTAAACCGGTCTTGCGCGACTATTAAGAAAATGTTTCCTTTTGCAGATCTTGGGAATGGTCCCATTAAATCAACTGAGACAGTATGCCAAGGCTTTTCTACAGTGGACGGTTGCATTTTCCCGGCTGGTTGCATTTGAGACGGTTTATATTGGAGGCACTTCGTACAAGCTCTAACGTAGTCTGCGATTTGTTTAAACATCTTAGGCCAATAGTACTTTTGCGCTATTCGGCAAATTGTTTTTGCAATTCCTAAATGGCCTGCTGTGGTCGAGTCATGATTTTCCTCCAAAATATCTTTCCTTTTATATCTTGGTACGCATAACTTCCATGGGTTATTAAACTCTGGGTCGGCTAAATTACGGCTGCTCCAAATGTGTTTATATAACTTCCCGTTTGTTATTTGTAGATCCGGGAAATCGTCTGGGTTCTGGAGTACATTTCTATATAAATTATCGTACCAACTGCATGATTCCAATTCTGATGCTAATAATTCCAACTCTGGTTCTTCGCTCTGGTTTTCCTGTGGTTGTCGTGACAAAGCATCTGCTACCTTGTTGAGGACTCCCTTTCTATATATTACCTCAAAATCGTACTGTTGCAGTTCTAAACTCCACCTGGCTAATCGACCTGACGGGTTTTTAAGGTTCTTCAGCCATTTGAGGGACTGATGGTCTGATATGACCTTAAAATTGTATCCTTCTATATATGGCCTCATTTGCTTTATCCCGTATACGATGGATAGACATTCTTTTTCCGTTGTGGAATATTTTGTCTCGGCCGGTGTGAGGGTTCGACTAGCATATGCGATTACTTTATCCTGGCCGTCGTACTTCTGTGTTAGTGCGACTCCAAGTCCGCAGTTCGACGCATCTGTTTGCAGGTAAAATGTTTTTGAAAAATCGGGGCATGCTAATACTGGGGCCGATGTAAGTTTTGATTTTAGCTCTTCAAACGCGTTTTCTTGCTTATCGGTCCATTTCCATCTTATCTTCTTCTTCAGAAGCATGTTTAGCGGTCCTGCTATTGTCGAATAGTTCTCTATGAATCGGCGGTACCATGATGTTATTCCTAGAAACCGGCGGAGTTGACGCACATTTCTCGGTGCTGTAAGTCCGGTTATAGCGTTGGTTTTCTCCGGGTCAGTTTTTATTCCTTCTGCTCCAACCACATGTCCTAAGTATCTGAGTTCTGACTGGCAAAACGTGCATTTTTCAAAGTTCAGCTGTAACTTGGCTTCTTTCAGTCTTCGGAAGACTTCCTGTAGGTGATTTAAATGCTCTTGGAGCGTTTTAGATATTACTACGATATCATCCAAGTAGGCAAACGCGAATTCCATATCAGGAGGTATTACCTTGTCCAGTAGGCGTTGGAAAGTGGCTCCTGCGGAATGCAGTCCAAATGGGGTGGTTTTGAACTGAAAATGGCCTTTTCCGGGTACGCTGAATGCTGTCACTGGGCGGCTAGTTTCTTCTAGGGGTATTTGAAAATATCCCTGTTTCAAATCGAGGGTTGATATAAAATTTGCTTCCTTAAGTCTATCCAGAATTTCCGATATTCTGGGTAACGGATATGCGTCCTCATCTGATAGTTCGTTGACTTTTCTAAAGTCAATGCAAAACCTGTACGAGTTATCTTTTTTCCTAACTAGTACAATCGGTGAACTCCAACCACTTGTGGAGGGTTCGATGGTTCCTTCTTTTAACATCTTGTCTACTTCTTGGTTGATGATCTGCAGCATTGCGGGATTGTGTCGTCTATAAGGCTGTTTGACTGGATCGCATTTTGTCTTCAATTTTATTTCGTGTTCTATTAAGTTAGTGGGTCCTGTTATGTTCTCAAACTCCCTTAGTTCTTTTCTTAGAAACCTTTCTAGCTCTGTATTTTTGGTGGAGTCTTTTAAAGTATTACATGCCTCTTCTTGATGTTGTACGAATTGTTTGCTCGTATGTTTATCGAATTTAAGTTCGATAGAATGGTTCCTAAGGAATTCCACTCCTAGTAAGGCATCTTCCGTCAACCCTGGCATTACTATGAATGTTTGTCGGGTTTGTAACCTATCGATCTCGCATTCAATCGTCAACTTCTGGTTAAGCTCCATTGACGCTCCATTTGCTAGTCTTGTTCTCCCGCTGTAGCTATCTAGAGAGTCTTTGTATGTCTTAGCTATTCTATCCCCGACGTAATTTTTAGTGGTTCCTGTGTCGATGAGCGCTCTGTATGTTCTTTGCCCTATTTTCAGCGATGCGAATAGCCGAATGTCATTGCTTGCTGGCTGTGTAACGGCGAAAACGAATGGAGTCGAATCTTGCTTTACAGACTGGGACGACTCCTTGTTTCTCCAGTCTGTAGTTCGTTTCCCTGACGCCTAAAACAGCAGTCGCTACTGTAAACCCCTTCTCTGCCGCAACGCGAACAAAACTTTTTCCACGGGTTTTTGCAGTTTTTTACGGATGTGACCTGGCATCTTGCATCTAAAGCATGTCGTTTTGGCATCGTACTCTGCTTGGTCCGTGCGTCTCCAGTTTCCACGGCAACTCTGATTTGATCGGTTCTTTTCGTCTTCTAAAGCTTCGTATTCTTGAGCTAAATCTTGTAATTCGGCTAAGTTTTCAAAATCTCGGCGGCGAGCATAAAGCTTATATTCTGGTAACAGATTTTTGTATATCCTTTCGAGTTCTTGGTTTCTGGAAAACGATCCTTCTCGTCTGGTTAGTGTTTGAATCTCCGTGATATATCTATCTACCGGCTCATTTTGTCTCTGTTTTCTGTTTCGGATTTGCTCCTCTAGTTGCAGCAAATATCCTCTGGGATAGAAAGCTTTTTTAAAATCTTCGCTGAAATCTGCCCATGACTTCCAATTTTTGTTATTGTTTCTGTACCATAACAAAGCGTGGTCTCCTAATAACTCTGGTAATGCTCTTAATAGATCTTGTTTATCGATCTCGTAGGCCAAGCTTAATTCGTCTATCCTCTCTAAGAATCCTATTGCATCCGAATGTTTCTTGTCGAAGTGTGTGTTCCACCTTCGTACTTGATTTAGCAATTCTGATTGCCCCATTTGTTTCGCTATTGTTAATTCTTGTAATTGTCTTCGGATGCCCGAAATTTCCTGGGCCAGTGTGTCGGATTCTGTTCCCTTGGAAGTTTTTTCTTTTTGCATTGCTCCTGTCGCTTCCTCGCGATTTTTAAAATATATCCTGAGTCGTACTCTCAATTCGTCGACGGTTCCCTTGGAATCTAAGCCGAATTTTTCGGCCTCGCTCTGCAATTCCTCTTTGCAAAGTCGGTTTATCCAGGATGTACCTGTTACTGAGTCTGTGTCCTTATCTGTCGGCATGTTACTAAATTTTTTTTTTTTTTTTTTTTTTTTTAGTAACTTTCCAATCCTCAATTTTTCTCGGGCGCCAATTTGTAACGGGTAGCTCTTTCAGGACGACAGACTCAGTAAAACACAGGTTAAAATAAAAATATGTCTATTGATCTAATATATGTACAATATACATGAAAATAAAATAAATCCTGTGCCGTAGAAATTAACTCTGCGCTCCGTCTGGATCCCGCGATGAATGAATCCCCGGCGGACGCCTATAAAAGAAAGAAAGAAAGTAATTATTAATAACAAATAAAATAGGTGTAGTCAATCGCACTCAGACGTGTATTCGCTTCCGCTTCAAACCAGCGGGAGCTGCGAACACACTCGTCAACTACAAAATCGCTTATGCAGGTCCGCGATAAAGTTCAAGACACGATATCGGTAGACTTTGCTTAATTATGGACGGAGCATGAACTTCAAAGCAGAACTACCTCCGTCCGGGTGGGCTCGCCAGTTCAGGACACTGGCGAAGAGAGGAGCCTAAGGCGCTAAGCTAAAGACTGACCAAATGCCGCTATTCATATGCCTTAAATAGTTGCTCTGAACCCCACTCACATCGTGCTAAGGAGGTGGAAGCGCCAACGCTGACACTCCTACGGTTCAAGCTGTTGAACGGTGATGACATCGTTACAAGGTTCAATCAGTAATATTTTATTATGTCTCATATGGTTGCTCTTGGCCAATTATTTATTTCATTATAAGTAGTATAATCCGACAAGCGAGAGCTGGCGGGTGAGCTGCGCGAAAATAGAAAAGGAATTATTCTAAGAGAGGTAGGAGAGTTACTTAATCGCGATTATAGGTATATAGTATAGGTACTTAAACGGTTATACACGATGTGAACTCCTAGCCGACTGCAATAGAAATGAGCAATTCCTTCCACTTTTTAATTTGTTCTACGCGCAACACGCCAGCTCTCGCTTGTCGGGTTATACAGTGAAACTTCTTCATAACGGACACCAATAGAGGAAAATAATTGGCCGTTGTGTAGAATTTTCTGTTGCGTAGAGTTATCGCATAACCAATTGAAATAAAAAAGAGGTTTTAATTTGCTATATCCTTAATTCTATATTTTCGTACATATGTTCGAGTCTCTTAGTTTTAGGTAAAGCCTCATTTAAATACTTACAGTTGTAGTAAGTTCTAGTTCAATGAAAATTTCAAAATTTTTAAAACATGGAGTATTTTTAATTTTACCCATCACCAAATTTTTTTCTTTTTCCCCATTTAAATTTGCACACAATAATAAGGTCAGCCTTTTCATAGTAGATTGACTCCCAGAGCACCTTTTATTACGAAATATAAAAGTTTTACTTGGCAAGGCCAATTCATCAAATTGAAATCCTGAAACAAATTTTGGAAAAAACACTGGAAAATGACATTGATATCCATATTTATAGACTGCAAAGCACTCTGTGAAAAAAAGATAAAAGATAAAAAAAGATAAAAAAGATGTTTAAAGCAATAAAAGAGATAAGAATACCAAATTAGTTGATAAATTTATTAAACCTAACTCTTGAAAAATTGAATTTATATGCTTTTCTTAATTCTATTTTCAATATTTCATTTTCCTTCCTATTATGTAGACTACAGAGCCCTATGTAACTCTTCTTCTTTTTTCTAGTTTATTTTCCAGCCTAAGTGAAATACTGCAACCTGTAATGAACCCTGTACTTCTTATAGTTTTATTTAAAAACCACTATCAGCAAAGTTTATGTCTTTAAAACTTTTCACTAGCCTTTAGCTACCCATCTTGACAATTGTTTTATTGTATCTTATCCAAGATTTACTTATATAAAATTTTCTCCTTTTTAGAATCCTTCTAGCGGTAAAAAGACTCCTGTATTAGTGTTCATATATGGAGGTACTTTTGTCCATGGACACGCCAGTTATAGCCCTAACTCTGTAGCTTTCTTGATGAGGGAAAATGTCACAGTTGTTACATTCAACTATAGAGTTGGACCTTTTGGTAAGCTTTTTAAATTCACAAATAATATTTAAGAAATTATATAAATTAAGATATTAATTAAGAAATTAAAAAAAAATTAACACTAAACAAATAAAAAAATAAAAGAAATAAAAAAAATTGTAGAAAGTCAAAACTTTTAATTTTTTACTTATTTTTAATACAGAAACTTTACAGGATTTCTATCAACAGAAGACACTGTAGTTCCTGGCAATATGGGTCTTAAAGATCAACAATTTGTTCTGAAGTGGGTGCAGACTAATATCCATCTTTTCGGAGGTAACAAAGATAAAGTAACGCTAATGGGCCAAAGTGCTGGAGCAGCGTCAGTTACATACCAATTGCTAAGTCCTGGATCGGCTGGTAAGCGCTTAAATTCACATAGATTTTATTTCCACATAAAAAAATAATATTTATATTTAAAATTTTTATCTTAAAATCGATTTAAAATTGTAGGACACTTATTATTGTTCTTATTAGCTTTTTTATCTTTCTGATAGATTCTAGTTTATCTTAGTTGGATATGTACCAAATTGTGATATTTAAATACAAATTTTCATATTTTCAATTTTTATTTATTATTAATTAAAAATTCTACAAATTTTATTTGTTAGACTCACCCTACAATTTAATTTATCTGGACTGATATCGTCCACCATCGAATGTCTGGAAATTTGTTAATGCCGCTGTGTCTCGCTTCGAATATTTGAACTATTCTATAGACTTGTCTGATCTTCCTAGAATGGTCGCATGTCATCGAACGCCAGACTGTTATTCGATAGGCAAGACGGTAGCGTAACATTACAAGGACCGATAATTTCATTTTCTTTGCGCCGATTGTACGAATAAGGAATTCGCCGTAGCGAAATTTTCTGGTTCGATAGAAGATTCTTTCTTAGCTCCGAAGGACTAGCTCAAGAATCCAGCACCTGAAAAGTTGTTCCCTTAGCAATGGTTAGGGGTAAACATTAAATTGGTAAAAGACCTAATTCAGATTATTTAAAATGTATCTTTATTAAAAGGAATAATAGCCTATAACACTGTAGAAAATATTAGTTATAAGTCTATTGTTTATAGATAAGAACAGTTAAGGTTTATGTGATATTCAAATCGTTGTTGAATCTTCAATTAGACTTAGATCGACTTAGAACAATTAAGAGCTTGAATAAGTAAATATAAGTTTGATTATTACTCACAATAGGTAGAGCATCCAAATATTTTTAAAGTCAAAAGAAAAGGTAAAAAAGTATTTTTGAAGTGTGTATATTTTAAATAATTCCTAGCTGAGCGCTTTCGGCTTTACAAAGCTATCATCGGAGCTATGGTCAATTTATAAATACCACTACAATGGAGAGATCTCATTTCCTTATATGTAGAAATATTGATTTTTTAGTTGTTAAAATTCTTAAAAAACATATAAAGTAAAGCCGACTTTGTAAAGCCGAAAGCGCTCAGCTAGGAATTATTTAAAATATGCACACTTCAAAAATACTTTTTTACCTTTTCTTTTGACTTGTCATAAGTGTGTACAAAAAACATATCAGTCTTTTGATTTTCAAATATTTGGCAAACTCACTGCCAGAATCATCATCATCATCAATGGCGCTACAACTCTTCGTGAGTCTTTGCCATGTTTACTATTGCCTTCCATGTTTTTCGGTCATGTGCCAGTAATTCCCATTGTCGCACTCCCATTTTCTCTAGATTTTCTTTGACTCCATCTTTCCACCTTTTTCTAGGCCGCCCGACAGACTTTCTTCCATCTGGCCTTTCCCAGAACACATTGTTTATAAGGCAATTGTCGTTACTGCATATGCTGCCCTGCCCATCTGAGTCTATTAGCCCTTATATATCTGACTAGATTTTCTTTTCCGAATAGAGACCCTAGCTCGTTATTGTATCTGCCTCTCCATTCGTTTGTTACGCTGTCTCTGCAAGCAATTTATATACTTATCTTTTTGTTATCGTCCGTTACCAACAATACTGGCCACCAAACTAGATAATAGGGAAATAGTGTATATTAAACTGACCAGTCAGTTTATTCCTTAGCAGCTCTTGCTTGTCGTATCTTTCCTTACCAAGATTGCTTGACGACTGTATTATTTTTATGAAACTTGTGATTTGTCTTTCGTTGTTAATTGTTCAGACCAAGAAAGAACTGATTTTAAGGGAGTAGTTCAAGTTTAGAAGTAAGGGGAATATTTAAATAAAAATAAGAAGTTGTTACAATGTATAGATTAACGGTAAATTTATATATTAATATTAAAGTATTTTTCATTAAATTGATTATTTATTGTGTTCAAAATACTAAAAATTTTGTATTGTATACGATTAGGACGGCAGCTTTGGCATACTTAAATATTACAAAGATTTTAACCATCAAGCAACAATTATTTAACGCTATTTTAAACACTAATTAATATTAGATATCAAAAATCATGGACATAATATAATATAATCTGTTTGCCACTACATGTATTAGAAACTCTATCTGAACTGTCTCGATCCATTTTATAGCTTGAATTTTGAGTGTGATAATAATTTACGAGTAATCTGATACAGGTCCTATAGGTCCAGACGAACTAAGTCCATACATTGAAAATCCAATCCATGTGATAATTTATCAGAAGCTTTCTCGAAGTTTAAAAACTATATGTTAATATTTTTTAGGCTTATTTGTTGGTGCTATAGCAAACAGCGGTACAGTTTTTTGTAATTGGGCTTACCAGAGCAACGCTTTAGAAACCGCGTATGGTATAGCAAACGAAATTGATTCTACGTTTGGACGAAACAAGACCACCCAGGAATTATTGGAGTTTTTACAAGGCGTTGATGCTTCCGTCATCCACGCCACTTCAGATAAATATAAGGTAAGATCTTTTACTTCTTCTTTTTTAATTTCTATCTTCTATAGAAGGTTAGAAATCATCATGGCTATGCGGACTCTGTTGACTGCCACTCTAAAAAGTTCTGCACTACTGCAGCTAAGATTTTTACTAGCTTTTCAAAAAAAAATGTATAAAATATGTAACAAAATAAACTTCAATAATACGAAATTATTATAATATGAAAAAAAATCCTGACTAGAGTAAGCCCTGGAATAAGCTTTCATCAGTTGGTTACATTTATAAAAGAAATTTTAAACACTTGTAACGTAACCTAACTTTTTTATTAAATTAAGCCTTTTTCATCTAAAATACCTTTAATCTCTTTTGATAAATTTTATAGCACACATAAAAGAGCTTTTTATTGGGAAACCAGGTCACTTAAAGTTAATATTATGTATCTGTAAGTCTATCTCTCTATCTATCTATACCGCCCTTGCTGTCCAATTTTAGACATAGGCCTTCTCTTCCTTATTCTTATGCACTTAGGGCCTGCGTGTTTGTTCAAGTTTGTAATATAAAGAGACTCAATCGAATTCTCAACCACATATATGTAGAGGGCAACATCCCGGAGGAATGGCTTAAATCGATATTTTTACCTCTATTAAAAAACAACAATCCCAAATCATGTAATGACTATAGATTGATAAGCCTAATGTGCCACTTTTTAAAGATTTTTTTGAAAATTTTTCAAAACGAAATTTATAAGAAATGTGAGAAGCAGATAGATCAAATGCAGTTTGGCTTTAGAAGCGGCATGGATACAAGAGAGGCATTACTTACGTTGACGGTACTCTTGCAGAAATTTTGGAAATATAATAGGAGTGCATATATATGCTTCTTAGACTTTAGCAAGGCATTTGACCGAGTACAGCATAGGAAGTTAATAGATATGAATTAAAAAAGATCAATTTAAACAAAAAGACTTTAAGTTTATTAAAGTTATATACTGGAACCAGAAAGCAGTATTGGAATGGATATAAAGAGGAACTACTGGCTGCGAAATATTCGAGACTGGACAAACATGCCTGTAGATGAATTATTCCACGTTGCAAAAGACAGAAAAACTTTTAGAACTGTAATCGCCAACTTTCGTTAATTGGGACGCCATAGGAATAAGATGAATATCAACAGAAAAAAAAACAAATATATGACAACATCTAAATACCCACTACAATATAAAATCAAAATTGATGGGAAAATAGTAAAGCATGAAGCAAGGTTTAGATATCTGGGAATAGATATAACTAGTTGCGGAGATGTTGAAGAAGTACAACAAAGCTTAAAAGCAAGTATAGCGGCATCTCTTAATGACACAATTTGGAAGAAGAAACACCTAAGACAAGACACAAAAACAAGAATCTATAAAGCAGCAATTTCACCTATTTTAACATTTACAGAAAAAAAAAAGATTAAAAAAACTTCTATGAATATCAAAAAAAGTCTGTTGGAAAGGAAGTGAAGTGAAAACATAAAAAGAGCATGGAATATAGAAGACAACAAAAACAGAATTGGAACAAACACATCAGTAGAATGGGAGAGGATAAAATAGTACGAATAGCACTAAATAAGTCACCAAATGGACAAAGAAGTATTGGCAGACCAAGAAAAAAAGCTGCGATACTTTAAACAATTTAGGAGGCTAATATTGTAAAAGAAACAAGCTTTAAAGCCTACAAACAAAAATGAAGAAGAAGAAAGAAGAAGTATATTAAACAAATTTTTGTCTCGATGTATTAGGACATCACCAACATTACTACTAAAGCTGCAATCTGTAGGAGAAATGAGATGAGTAGTTTATAGTATAATAAATATAACTAAAAGAGCTAAACAAGAAATTGCAAATAAAAAAGGAACAAATAAATCGTTAGTAATTAAACTCGAAAGTCTCAAAAATCGTACCTAAGCAAAGCATAGTGACTAAATTTTCAACGAGCCGTATAAATAATTAATATATTGACCTCAAATAACGATTTTTTTGATGATTCTATATAATTATTGTACAATAATTATGAAATTGTCGTCATTTCCCTCGAGTATAAAAATTTGTATTACAAGCCTCAGGCCAATGTAACAAAAAGTAGATTCTACCTGAGTTTTCATCGATTTTTGGTCACTTTGAATTACATTTTTTTTTAACTGAATTCGTGCTTTTATGAATTATAAATTGAAGATTGATGAAATGAAACAACTTTATCGGAATCCATTGCTATCTATATAATTGGCTAAAATGTACTTTTATATTTTTAGAGATGAAGATATTATTATTTGTTTAAGGTATTTGCTCCAGTTATTGAAGTTCCTCATGATGGAGCTATTATATCAGATAATATGTATGATTCGCTGGTAAATGGAACTTTTAATAAAGTTCCTTTATTAATGGGTTTTAATTCCGAAGAATCGATTGGAATGGCAAAAGGTATGGTATATAAGAAATGTAATATTTGTTTTGTATACGAGTATAAAGACAGTGGACTGGTTGAGACTAAGATTCTAAACTTTTTATTCTAAGGGACTTTCGGTCCTCGATAATAATATAGTCTTTCATTCTGCGTTTAAATTTTTTAAAAATATTTATTAGTTATTTATATATTTTTTGGATCCTCCATTGTTTTGGAAAAACAAGACAATGACAATGCAATAAATTAGGATTTTTTAATTTACCCAAACTTGTAATGGTATAGCTTTCATTTGAAAAGAGCCTGGAACAGATTTTTGAGTGCTTGCTAATACTTTTTTTAGACCTGATAGCGATCAACCATAGTTTTGGTAAAGCTTTATTCAAGGGGAATTTATGAAACTTAACATTGTTAGTTTTATTGAAAACTGAATTCCATTGTGGTATACAACAATTGTAAGGCATATTGTAAAGTTTTAGTAAAAGTGTCCAAATAATTAAAATATCCTTAATAACTAATTAAACCTTAAATCACTTAAAAAATTGCTTACCAACTAGAAAACGAGTACCAAATAATGTAAATAATTGGCAGAATAGATGGGGCTTTTTTTAGAGTTTTACTTAAATTTGGTTGTGATACCTAATGTCTTCGAGGCGCTGGATGAGGTTAGATGCAAGGTTGGCTGACCCACTAGAATTTGGTCTATTTTGTGGCCTTCTGTTTTCAGAATTTCTTCTGTTATCATGCGTACCTTCTGACATGTGTAGTAATGAATGGTGCTGTCCACTACATTCTGCACATCTATAATAGGAATTACATGGTACTTCCCTTTTGTGTAGTAGGCATCTAATTCACCATTGCTTTTTCTTTCCTTAATTTTCGTAAGTTATTTAAAGCTTAGTTATTTCTTGACCTAGTTTTTCTCGTTCTTTATATAATCTCTGCATTTAACTTAACTCTTCATTTAATTTAACTTTTAAAGTCTCAGCAAGATTACCTTACACAACAACGCAATGAACATAACCTTACTGACACGACTTATTGTACAAATTAAAGCATGTAATATTAATACTTATGCAGAGATGCTATATTATAAAAAATATGAAAATACTACAAATACTATATATTTGGAATTGAATAAACTCTAAATGTGTATAAAATAACGATTTGTCAAGTATTTCACTATATTATGAAAATCAAATGTTTTAAGAATTTTAAATTATATGAATTAAAATTATTAAAAATATAATTAATATCAAAATAATTAAAATATTAGATTTAAATTAGCTGTAGACAAAATATTACTATTCTAAGTAAAAAGGTATGCAAAATAAAAATATTTCAATTAGGTATTATTAAAAATTTGAAGCTTAAGTTTCTTTAATATTTTTTTTAATTTATAAAAAATGCACTGCTCTAAATGATAATAAATATTCCAAAACTCACAGTTTTATCCCGACGTTCACTTGTATGTTCCTGATTCCTTCTTAGAACTGCAACTGGAACTGGTGAGCTGGATCTCTGGATCCTGCTAGATTTTTCTGCTGGAACCTGGACCTCTAAACTGCTGAAACAGTAGAGTTAAGGACTGCTATTCAGATTCTCTGGTGATCAAAGGCTCTCCTAAGGCTCCTACCCCTAATTTCTCCTTCGACGCTCCAATCCAATTAATGCTCTTTTGATGTTGTTTTATCGAAGGACCAATGGACAGATTTGAACCTAGTTTTAAGGATCGAATTGTTTTATAATGACCCCTTGTCCGCCTCTTCTCGATCGACGATGATCAATACAAAAAGTCTTAAAGTTGTGTCATCAATCTTACTCTATGTATGCTGTGTACATCAGCACAGAGGTTAGTGCTTCTATCATACTAATGAACTTTGACCTATGACCTTACAAAACAATTTAATCGAGACCAAAATTGCAACACTTTAGAAGATCAATTGGAAATTATATTATTCGACAATTTATTAACAAATGAATGTATTTGATTATTAAAATGTAACTCGATATTGTTTTACAATCTCTCAATTATATACAGAATATCTCAATACACAGTACAACTATAAAAGATTAAATATAATACAATCATTCTAGTCTACTCACAGAAAAAAATAAAATACTCAATAATGATAAATTTATTTGTTAAATACTTATCTTAATTAAATACTTTTTGATTTGTATTACTTTTATAGATATAGATGCGTGGAAAAATCATTGCAAGGGTTACGACCGCAATCCCAGCACCCTCGTTGACCCTGACATGCATATTGAGGACGACGAAACTAAGCTGACAGTGGGAAACGCAATAAAAAGTCTTTACGTTGCTAATAGTACATTTGAGGAGGAATACGGAAAAGGAATTCAAGTAGGTTATCATTAAATAAAAACAGTTATTTATTTATTGTGTGGTCTGTGAGACGTTTATGCATTGTATTAAATTTCATACACATATATTATAGGTTTACAAACGTACGTGGAGCAGTGGTCTTTGATGTGCACTAATTTGTAGCTGTCCAGATTCATGATGTATTGGATTTTGTTTCTGTTTAGAATTCTGTTGCATGCTAGATCAAATCCTAGTCAGTTTTGAATAATACCGGACATTTTGCTATTTTGTTGTTCCTTTTACTCTCCATGCATTCCTGAGGTTTAACTCAAATTCTATGTCACACTTGGTTGTAGTTGGCACTACTTTACCATCATCATTATTAGCCAGTCCTTTACGTCCACTAATACTGTCCACTGAACATGTGCCTCCCTCATTTTTGTCCATTGTGCTCTATCTTGAGCACTTTTCAAACAATCTCTTTTTAAGATTGTTCTGCTTAGTTCCACTTTAGTCACAGCAATGACCTTTCCATTTTCCTTTAACGCTTTCCATATGGTCTGATGGTTTCGTGCATGGTTTTGATTTGTTCTTCTTTTAATCATCTAATACCTCTCCTCCTTTAAGCTTATTTCTAAGTATAAGCACTTATGTTATGGTAAATTAGTAAGTTACTGATGCCAATGATTTTCAGTAGTTATCTGTAAGATAGTGTATGAGTCTTAATTTGGGTGATATATGAGAGTGTCGCCCAGAACTGGAGCAACTGCATGGAGATAGATATAACATCACCAGAAATCATTCTTATTGTGATATACACAAGAAAGATGATCGCATGGTAGATGCCGATATTTCCCAGTTTGCACATGGCGTTTCTGATTTCAATTTTTTAGCTGCTTTTTTTAGAAGGTTTTCGAAGTACTGTCGATGGTCACCCCTAAGTACTTTTTTATTGTAATGATTTTGATGTAATTATTTTTGTAGTATAGTTAAAATCAATAAAATATAATAAATAATTATTCTTGTTATACTATTCACAATTTTTTGTTTAACTAATATCAGCTTTTTAGTATTTTAGCGATAATACATTCATTAGAGCAATATTAAAGTTCGCAGAACTTTATTCCAAGCACATCAAGGATCTATACTTTTACCAATTTTCTTATCACGGGAAACTAGGTCAAAACAATATAACTATTCCAGGTAAATATTATTAACAAAGTTTTTATTTACTAATAGCAGATAAATTCGGCATCTAAATCTTTCTTTTGTGCATTTTTAGGAATCGGCAAAGTAGCTCATGCTGAAGACCAACGATACTTCTGGTGTGAACACGATAGCTATTCAGAGTTCCCAAAATCTGACCTAAAAACTGTGCAGAAATACGTTAAGCTTTTAGTGAATTTTATGAAATACCAGTAAGTTTTTAAGAAATTTAATTGGAAACATTTATTGGGTATAGTTTTAGGAAAATTCTTGTTTTATGCTCTAAAAGTGCTCTGAAAATATGGATTGATTGCTACATTTGCTTACAAAATTTACGGTTTAATCTTAATTACTTAATCGAATTGTTGAACAAACCCGTTTTTTTAGTATCCTCAGTAATACGGGCAACGAGTAGAGTTGGATAGTAAAATAAAATAAAAACACAAAATGTTTAATGCATAATTTACAGATACGAACAAACTTGGCAACAGTTGTTTCGAAAATATGCATCTAAGATTGGAAGAGATTCTGCGCAGAATTGTACTTCCAAGATCTCGTGCTGCAGAAGCAGTCTTTCGCAACATTCATAATTCCACCACCCCTCGTCTACGCTAATATTTAGATATATGACGTAGATACTGTCGTCGTTTTTGAGTTTTAAGATTGTTTACGTTAAAATTGGCAAATTTCTTTATTTCTTCGTTGCAGTTAGGCTACAGCATACAGAGGTTCCAGAGGTGAAACCTCTGTATACTGTGGTTAGGCTTCCTGCTTTTTGAGGTAGCGTTAAGGGATATACTTTCATTATCCTTTGTTTGTGTATCTTCACATATATTTTATCTGTACTTATCTCCTTAACTTTCGACCAAGCTAAATGGGCACAGATGAAAGCTGAAATTCTTGGATCTTGGACAATTAAAAAAAAATTGAATTACTTGGTTTTCGAGAGACGTTTTTACTGTTCTTTTGTATAGCACAAGTATTTTTAAATATATTTTTTATAGGCTATTTATTAATAATTTAAGGTATATCCAGAACAGATCTTAATGTGGTTCGGGTCCTGTTTTAGTTTAGATCTGAGATGTTGTTATTTGATGATCTTATCGTAGCTTGTTAATTTTTTTAAATCAGTAATATATGCAATTTCGTCTATTATTTGTAATATTTTTTGCTGTTGTTTAGTAACCAATTCTCGCTGTTATCGTTCTGCTCTTCTCATGCTTTGACTGTGTCTTTTTTTATATTATATGTTTGTCCTAATGCTAGCAAGGTATAATAATATATGTATAAAAACGTTAGAATTCTTTTTTCTATTAGTCCAGTGAACTTGATGTGGACTAGTTTGTGTTGTTTACTATTTTCTTTACATGCTATATGCATTAACATTAGTTTCTTGTCAAGTACCTATTCCAAATACAAGATGTATTCAAGCATTTATCTTTAGTATCAAATATTTTATCTAGTAATGCAAATATACCACAACTATTTTGGATTCCAGCCCAATAGCATTCAAATAATGTAAAATAAATTAAAAATTATTAAATAAACTGGAAATAACATGAAATTAAGTGAAATCAACTGAAAACAAACCTATAAACAACAAGATGGTTTAATCCGCTCTTCCAATGCTTACGTATCAACCAATGACGATGACCTGATGGATGATACCATATCTACAACCAAAGAATATCCTTGGCAAGCCATTACCAAAAAAGGAAATGTTGTATAGAAATAACAGATAAACAAAATGAAGTTTTAAGGTGAACAAACACCTGAGACAAGACACAAAAACAAGAATCTATAAAGCAACAATTAGACCTATATTAACATACATGGCGAAAACAAGACCTGACACATCTAAACGAGACTACTACTAAAACAACAGAGATAAAAATACTCCGATGAATATCAGGGAAAAGTCTGTTGGATGGGAAGAGAAGCGACAACATAAGAAGAGCATGCAATATAGAAGAAATAAATGGATGGGTGACAAAACGAATACAGGAGTGAAACGAACACATAGATAGCACGAGATAGCATGAATAGCACGAGACAATTCACCAAATGGATGAAGAATTATTGGCAGAACAAGAAAATGATGGCGCTATAAATTAAACAATTTAAGAGGCTCATATTGAAGAAAAAACAGGTTTTAATCCATACATACAAAAATAAAGAATAAGAAGAAGAATGTTATACCATGAAAGCCAATTAGTACGAGCGCGTGAAGTGTCTAAACTTCAGAGGTGGGAAAGAAGACTTGAGAAAAGCTAGCCAGAAGATCTTACTAGATAATTACAGATGAACTGCTACTAGGCAGTTGATATCAGAACAACTTTTAACACATTTATTTATAACTTTACATATTTTAATCAGTAGATGCATTCATCAAAAGTTTGCATTCCATTGATTAAAAAATGCGATTTTTGAGGTAGAAATTAAAAAAAACAACGTATTTGTTAATTATAATTATAGTTTATTCTTAGTAAAGTATATAATTTAAAATATCTGACTAATTATTATGAACAAAGAATGATTAAATGTACTGCATTCCTTAACAAGTCCTTTTCACTACAAGTATATTTTTTAATAGCACCTTTGACCAAGTAATCCTATTCCTTACGAATGTTCTATCTAATATAAAATTACGATTTTAGGAAACCCACACCGTGGATTGACTACATATTCGACTATGTTATGTGGCCAGAGGTTACAAGTCACTATTTTACATATTTGGACATTGACACGACATTGAGTATGCGATATAACCCAAGAAATTTTTCTTACAATGCTTGGGTTGACCTTTACGACAAATATGCTAAGAAACCGTTCATATCGTATTGAAAATATCTGTTTTACTATTAACCAAAATAAAAATTGCTGATTATTGGTTAGAAAAATGTGTTGTTTTTTTTTTCTTTTGGCCTTGATCGTCGTTTTAAACATACCATGGGACATTGCAGACATCACGAAAGACTTTGGATTAAAATCTTTGTTGTCTTTTCATATTTGTATTACTAGCAGGTTTTCCAAATTTAAATCCCATACATCCATACCGGTCGTAGTATTGTCTTATAGAGAATAAGTTTTTTTTTGGAATCTGACTACTCCCGATTCATAAACCAGTACATTTTTTTTGTAAAGCATGGCCAGTTGTAGTTATTTAGGAGCATATATGTTTTCCTTAATTTAGGTTATCATTTATGTGGATATCCAGATATACTTCATCCAATTTACATACCGTTGCACGTCATTATCTACGTTAGAGATCGAAGTTGACATAGTTGTCAAAGTATAAAAAATCCTGAATCCATTTCAAATTAAATAGGTCACATAATTATTGCAAAAGTATTACCATCTCTTTACAAAGTCCATGTAGACTAATAAAAAACAATTAATACCATTAATATCCGATATAAATTTAGAAAAACTAAAACGTAAATCAACAACCAATATAGCAAATTTTTATCTCTTTATTATAGATTGATTGTAAGATGTATTTTAATATAATCACAGAGTTTTAAGCTTAAAAAATGTTCTCGTGAACAAATAACTCACAAAAATGTGACTTATCAAGTTATTTTCCTGTGGTCTCCAATCGCTATGCTATATTTATTGTTATGTGGTTAATTTTTTTTTCACGGAGCATAGTCTTAACAATTAATTGCTTATTTTTAATAACCACCCTTCTTTTGTTCGTTATAAATTACTAATTTATTATAAAATTGCCTTTTTAGGAAACCCACACCAGTGATTCAGGAAATATTTGACTACGTTATGTGGCCAGAGGTTACAAGTCACTATTTTACCTATTTGGACATTGACACGACATTGAGTATGCGATATAACCCAAGAAACTTTTCTTACAATGCTTGGGTTGACCTTTACGACAAATATGCTAAGAAACCGTTCATATCGTATTAAAAATGTGTGTTTTAATAATATTAAAATAAAAGTTGCTGATAATTGATAAGATAACTAAATTGTTTTTTTTTTTATTTTTTCTGTTGACCATTTATACTTATTCATCATTTTATAGCTATATCTTAATCATCTATATCTTCTAAAAATTCGTTTAAGTTACTATAATTTTATTATTTGGACAATATTTGTTGGGTGGAATTTGTACCAAAGGCAAAGAAAATAACCACCCTAAAACCAACTAGCATTAAAGCATATCAAACGATAGAAAGTGTTTAAGGCACACAAAATAAATAAGATCACGTTGCTTAGATCAGGTGTTTTGTTGTATACAAAACAATTAATAGTGGTTAATAGTATATTACGTAACGAGAGTTGTAAGAAGCTATTAATGCGAGTAAAAAAGTTGCGCGCGAGCCGCGTAGCGGCGAGCGCAGTAATTTTTAAAAGCATGTAATAAGCTTACAACTCAAGTTGTGTACTATACTTTTTCTACGATTATTTTCGTTTATAAAAATAAAAATTAAATTTACCACTATATTTACACTGACAGATTAATAATTTTTAATCTGTCAAAATAACGTCTGTTAATTCGTTTCCATGTAACTCGACCAACTGACTTACGAGGCTTATGTGATATTACACATTTTTATAAAACTGAAGCGTAATTTTTTTTATTACGTGCTAGTCATTACGTGTCAGTATCTGTTATGATGCATTTACTTAGCATCCAAATAGTATGTAATATACAATTTACTAGTAAGAGAGTAGAAAAAATATATTACATATTAATATTACGTAATCTTACTTTTCAAAAATCACTACACTATAAGGGTACTGTCGCCATAGTGACCAATCATGACGCAAATTGTCACTTTAGCCGACCAATCACAAACAGCGTTATTAACTTCTTGTCATTGGCCTCCCGGTGCAAAATTGCTACGAATTTCTAAACACTAAGTGTATAAAAAGGCAGCACACCTTCCGATCGGCAATTTAGTTGTCTTACACTGACTTGGAGTCAGAAACGAGAGAGGAGACCTCCTAGAAAAATTGGCAGAAGACTCAGAACTAGTTGTCACCAACAATTCTTCCAATTACCACCTCGCAAGCTGTACACCTGGAAATCCCCTCAAGACAGACCAGAAAGAATTATTAGGAATCAAATAGACTACGTTACCTGCTAAGGGTCCCTTGTCCAGGGTTACGATGAAGTTCACAACGGCATCCAGGATCAACCCTACAGCAAACCAACATAAAGCATGGTCTTATCAAAGCAGTTCCAAAGTCTGTATAATAAAACGACTGCAAAAATTTAAACTGGATCAAGGATGTCTGAGGAATTTAAGGTCACCAAAGGACTAAAGCAGGGTTGCTGTATTTCGCCTACCCTTTTCAAAATTTATCTGAAACAAGCACTCAAACTGTGGAAAAGAAAATGTAATGGCATGGAAATCTCTCTCAATGACGAGACTACACTGTACACCTTACGTTTCGCTGATGACCAAATACTGATTGCTCAGGATCATGACGACTTGAGTTACATGACTCTGAAGCTAATAGAAGAATATAACAAATGGGGTCTCGAAGTCAACATTAAGAAAACTGAAGCCATGTGTATTGGAGGGACAAAGCAGTCCATTATATTAGACGATGGGTTAGAAATTAGACAATGTGATGAATACAAGTACCTGGGTATAGAAGATAACTCAAGATGGAACACTCGATGATGCTATAAAAGACAGAAACATACAGGGTAGAAAAGCCATATCCATAATGAACAAACAACTCATATACAACACTATACTTAAAAGTGTAATCACATATGGCAGTGAAGTTTTGCCAATAAAACAAAGAATAGAGAAACTGTTACTAGCAACAGAAATAGACTTCTGGAGAAGAGCAGCAGGCAAATCAAGAAGAGATCGAAAACCAAATGAGAGAATACGAGAAATGATGGGAGTCAAGGAATACAATAGTTGATGACATAAAACAAAACAGTTAATATGGTACGGCCATGTACAAAGAATGCCAGATGACAGGATTCCGAAACAGATTTTGACGTGGACACCACAAGGGAGAAGAAAAAGAGGAAGGTCGAGAAAAAGCTGGAAAGAGGGAATTAAAAAAGAACTAGAAGAAAGAGAAATCCCTTCAGGCCTGTGGATAAATAGAGTAGAATGGCGGTTAGGCGTCGGAAGGCGTCGGAAAACGCTGTAAACCGATAGTAGTAGTAGCAAATAGACTATATTTTAGTAAATAAAAGATTTCGATACATCTGTCGAGACTTATCCTGGAGCAGACTTGGACACAGATCACGTATTACTGATGCAAAAGTAATGGTAATTTCATTTGCTAAATAGATGCAAACTCCTCCCTCTCGACGAGTACCTTTATCTCTACGAAATATAGTAAAATTATCAATAAAAAGAGAAATCATACGATTTCTACCTGGCGAAATCGAATTCAAATCGAATCGAAATCGAATTCATATCGAATCAAAATCTAATACCGTCATTGTGTAAAATTATCAATGTTTACAATAGCATCGGAGATAGAAGAATTAAGCCACGTTTCTGTTAGGAGAATAATGTTTTAAAAGTTAAATAGTACTTATAAATTCATTAAATTTGGACATAAGCGAGTTTAGATTCATATACATAAGAAGCCAATCCGTAAATTTTGGTGCAGATGGGAGAAGAAGAATATCATGGTTGAAGGACCTGAGGAAATGGTTCTCCATAACAACAACGAATTTATTTAAAGCAGCAGTTAATAAAATAATTATAGCCAGAATGATTGCCAATATTCGGAACGAATAGGCACTGAAAGAAGAAGAAATTATGAACGAAATTTCATTATCATTGAAAAGCCATTCACATATTTAATCGCAAGGTCATTTTCGCCATTATTTTTATGAGTTTCAAGCTCAGTACGAAGTTTCCTTACACTAGCATATGTGTCTTGTCATCAATAACAGAATAAGTTTCAGTAGATTTGTTTTCCAAAAGTTTATTTTTGTTATGAAGAATTTTTTGAGTGTTGTATTCAGAACTCATTATCACTTTCATCATGCAGGGAAAACGTTTATTTTGATTTGGTTTATCTACGATTTGGATACCGACACATGTTGTGCGTCTTCTGTAGGTTCAGGGACGACTAAACTAAAAAAAAATTGCAACGAAACATGCGGTAAGCGGTTTCATTCACAATGCAGTAAATTCTATGGTTGTAATAGAATCAAGTTGATTTAATTTATTGCTGATTTCAGATAGTTTAATATCAAAGTCTTCAATTTTCTTCTTAATGTCCGCTTTAAACTCAACTAGTAGATTCTTGATTCCAGTAAGACTCCCAATGTTTGAACTACATGCATTGCAAAGTATACATATTCCACGTACTTTTTGCCTCGTAACTCGATCATCGACTGACAGATCCGTACAAGCAATGTATATTGGTTTCTTACAGCCATCACACTGGAGTTTTCTATCGGAGGTAGAAGTTAGCTTTGAACAATTAGCGCAAAACGATGTATTACATAGATCTGATTAACTTTGTGCTAGTTTTCGATATGAATTATAATTATTGGATTGATAATACATAGCAAATGTATCGTTATCACTTACTCGAATGTTTAAAAACACAATCACAATAAATTGTTTCTTTGGTTTTTTAGAAACACATTTAAAATCAATTAAATTTTAATTATTTGTCGGAGTGTAGCAAAATACGACTGCTTCGAAGTCTGATATTGGTTTCATAGAAATTAAATATCTAGGAATTAAATATTCCAAATTTTGTTAGTTAACTGGACTAACTTCACGTAGCTTTAATTTAATTACACGTTATAATATGCTTAAACATTATATAGTTACCAAACTTTACCTGCGAAGCTTTTTCATTCAAAATCCTATACAACTCGACCAGAAATTCTCTGACCCAATGCAAATTTTGACCGTGCGGCCAGTAGAGTCATAAAAGCAGTGTTCACGTACGACGAGAACAAGCATACATAATAGTTTTGCTGAGATTAGAGCTTCTAATTACTAAAATAATACCTGTAGTGTGTATTACATAGTTTCTCCACGATTAAAACCCAATTTCTCAACAATAGGTACGTGTATACGAACCTTAGTATGATTAACATTAACTATTTAACTGGCTGCAGTTGCGATTTAGTTTTAGAGCAACCATTCAATATAAAGGAAATACTATATGTACTAAAATTACTAATTACTTCAGGGATGTAAGCTTTTCTCGTGACTTTAGAGAGAGTATTTCATGCATCTAGTCATAACTTTTTTATTTATATAGAAAGAAAAACATGTTTTGTATTGATGGTTTTTAAGTATTAACAATTAAATGTGAAAAGTCCAGTCAATAAGTTATATATAGAGTATACCACATACAGATTTTTTAATATTCATGTTAAATTTAATTATTAGAATGTGAAATTTCGGTTGTCAAATTTACCGAGAAACGTCAAGTTTGAATCGTTCTAGCGTGAGAGCTAATGAAGGAGATGCTTATCCATTAGAGGCAATACCAATAGGCACTCAAATACACAACATTGAGATGTATCCTGAAAAAGCAGGAATCTTGGTTCATGCTGCAGGAACATATGCAACAGTATTACGAAAAGCTCCCAAGAATTATGTTATTATCATGATGCCTCAGAAGTAGCAACCCGCCATAACAAAAAAAAATCCAAAATAAGTGCAGAATCGAAAAATATGCTGAAACAACGAAAAGAGCTCCTGTCACTAAATAAAAGAAATACCACAGAATACAAAGAACTTAATCGAGCCATACGAAAACAGATAAAAGACGATATTAAAAAACATCAACAAGAACATGTAGAAAGAGTGATAGAGAAAAATCGAAGTCTGAAATATACCAAACCGAAATAAGGAAAGAAAAATATTATAACTATGAAAAATCAACAAGGCCAACTAGAAACAAGCAAAGCTCAGATATCAAACGTAGTTGAAAACTTCTATACTGAGATATACCGCTCAAGAAACGATCCCCCCGACTCTTCAAAGCAAAATCTGAAAAGA